TTCTTCTTCTTCTTCTTCTTCTTCTTCTTCTTCTTCTTCTTCTTCTTTCTTCTTCTCCTTCTCCTTCTCCTTCTCCTTCTCCTTCTTCTTTCTTCTCCTTCTTCTTCTTCTTAGGATTGAACCCAGAGGCACTTTACCATTGAGGCATATCCCCAACCCTTTATATTTTTTATTTTGAGACAAGGAAGTTGCTTAGGGCCTCACTAAGTCGCTAAAGTTGGCCTTGAGCTTTTGATCCTCCTGCTTCAGCTTCCTGAGTCACTGGGATTATAGGCATTCACCACCATGTCTGGCCATGATACAATTTTCTTTGTGGAATTTTTTTTTCCCTCTTTAAGCTGCAGTGGAAACCATTTGAGGTCTGAGATGAAGATGGTGGCTTCCCCAAGAAAAAAATTGCTTTAGTTGGATGTTTAGCAGCACTGAATCTGGTCCACTTTTCACTTGGGGTGGGCAAGTATTGGGAGCTCTGAGTTGTAAACCTGCAAAAAATGACCTGAAATCACCTTGACATACTTGTATTTTCCAAGGACATTGTTAGATAAACTACTTTGGAGGTCATAAAACAGAAAGTCTCACAGGCCAATTTAAGATGCTCAGATCAGATGGTAAATCAAATCCACCTAGAACCTGTAGCACAATGCAAAGGGAAAGATATAGGTAGGCTGTCATAGATACAGTAAGGCACAAGATGGGGAGAGGGCCATCTGAAACCTGTGTCAAGCAATCTTTTTATGCCCTGATGCTCTCTGCAGCAGAATCCTTCCCTGATGATAGTGTGGGTTATAGGGCCAGATTTGAGGTTTGAGTTATGAGGGCTACAAAGAGAAAAACTATTGTGATCAGCACACATATTTTCTCTACTGGGGAGTCACAGTATCATATAAGCCTGGCTACAACTTCACCTCTCCAATTAACCTTATGAGCAGTTTTATGAATTTAATTTGTGTTAATTGGGCAGGGGCTAGAATGGGTGTCACCAATGGGAGATGGAATGACCTTGTGAATGTTGAGGATATGCTTCATGTATATTTTGTGCATAGTTAGTGTCTGCTTTGTCTTCTTTTTTGTTTATGTTCATCACACATGATTTACTTACTGTGTCTATACCTAACATTTCTCATAGGTTACTAATTTACCTATCTCTTCAAAACATCTTACGTGTTCTACCTGTGTCTCACAAGTTACTTGGTTTCATTTATCTTTCTTATTTGTTTCTTATCCTATAGCAGATTTGAATATTTTAAATAATGTATCAAATATGTATTACATGAGGGATGCTTTGTGATTTTGAATTCTTAGGTGAGGTTATTCTTTTTTTTCCTTCTGCTTAAATCTAAGGTTCAAGATAGTTCCTAGGGACTTTTACTGAAGATATATCCCTTTGAGTTCTCAGCACTCAGTGGCTTGTGTGGCATTCATTATTTAGAATACCCATGATGTAGAATTTATCATTCAGCCTACTGTATCTATTAAGGGACAATCTTTCCTCAGTGCTTCACTTATCCTTTTCAGTTCCACCTTTACTTAAGCCTCAGCCTCTATAGAAATTTGCTTCTTACCAGTGCATGAATTTATGCAAAAAGTTTTCAATTTTTTTTATTCAACATTTAGAATTATTTTCCACTGGAAGGTAGTTCTGGTACTTAGTACACCATTTTGCTGAAACTTATGTCCTGCTATAGACAGGACAGTTAATGAATTATCATGTTTTAGCAATAACTGCTAGATATGGGGTGGAGGAGGAAAAGAAACAAAACAAACAAAAACTTCAATCAAGAAATCTTATCTCTAACTATATTCTAATTTTCCTTTAAAATATAGACATATGAGACCTGGTTATGTGTTATAGAAATTCTTTTTAGTCTTTCACTTTATTGAAAAGATTGACATAAGAAAGCATGTTTGTGCCGGGGTTGTGGCTCAGTGGTAGAGCGCTTGCCTAGCATGTGTGAGGCACTGGGTTCAATCCCCGGCACCACATAAAAAACAAAACAAAACAACAACAACAACAAAAAAAAAAAAACAAATGAAATAAAGGTATTGTGTCCATCTACAAATAAAAAAAAATCTAAAAAAAGAAACCATGCTTGGTATATTGTAATCCCATGGTAATATTGTAAATTAAATGTTGTCTAATGATCCAAAAATTGCCAGTGTAAAATAACATGGGGGATTATGAGTGTGATAAAGAGACATGATTCTATAAACTTCAGAATTAAGGAGTTGCCCCCCTCTTTTCTCTTCTGTAGTCATCTTCCCATAATGATGTCTCCTGCAAGAGGACATTGTGTTTTTTTATCTGCAACAAGAGAAGTCGCTATTGAATGCAATAATAGCTACAATTGTATTTGTGAAAAAAGACTGTAAAGTATTTCATCTGCTTTAATGTGTGATGAGAATAAAAGTTAAACATGGAATATTGTAGTTTTTGTTTGTTTACTGTCATAATTTGTGATTACTTACAAATAAATGTTTTTGACTTCTGCTATGGAAGCAGAGAGAGATGAGCTGCAAGAGGAAGAAAATGTTTTTTTCATTACATGACTAGGAAATCAGATGCCGTGTTTCTTTGTAGAAAAGAGAGGAAGAAGAGCCTGTCTGTGGAGAGCAGTTTCCCTTTTCTGTAATGGCACTGAGGATTTATTCTTCCTTTCTTTTTCCTGAGACATCCTTAGAACCAATTAAAGAACCCTGATAAATAGGATCAATCATTTCAATGTCTTCTGGCTTTCATGATACATTTAAGAACTAGAATATAGTTGTGTTTTGTTCACATCTAAAGCTTACCTCATCTTTAAAATATTTTTTATTTTGTCATAAAATATAATTTTTAACATACTGAATAATTGCAAGGATAGTTCAAGGAATTCCCACATAACATTCACCCAGATTATCAGTTGCAGTTGTTTATATTTTGCTTTATGGTTTATATTCTACCCCCCATCCACCTTTCTGTCTGTCTCCTTGCTGATCCATTTGATAATAAATGCCATCTTCTTCTTTTGTTCAAATATTTTTTAAGCACAAAAACTTGTCTTATATAGTAATACTACAATGATCAAAATCAGGAGATTTAGTATTGATACAGTACTATGATCTAATCTATAATCCATGTTCATATTTTATCAGTTGTCCCAGTAATGTCATTTATAAGTTTTTTTCCTCCATGTTCAGGATCATGCAGTGTATTTAATTGTGCTGTCATTTAGTGTACTTAGTCTAGAACTGTTCTTTAGTCTTTTTTTTTCTTGACCTTGACATTTTAAAATCAACTTTTTTATTTGTACTGTGCATATCAAAAAATGCACCCACTGTAAGTTAAGAAGAATATAGGTTTTAACAAATATGTACCTCTAATACACTATCCATCCAAGATGTAGGACATATCCATCACCTATAAAAAGTTTCTGTCTGTCACCATCCACCTGGCCCCATGCAAGTGGTGATATGCTTTCTTCTACTGTACATTAATTTTGCCATTCCAGCATTTTATGACTCATGTACTCTTTGTAATTGACTTTTTGCTCAGCCTGTGTTTGAAACAATCTATACTTTTTCATGTATTAGTAGTTCATTCTTTTTGTTTGTCTATTGTACTGATAAACCACATTTTTTTATTCATTCATTGATAAACATTTGATGTAGTTCCACTTTTTGGCTTCTATGAATAAAGCTGCTATGCTATGTACATTTGTGTGCAAATCTCTGTGTGGACATGTGTTTTTCTTTTTTTTTTTGATCATTTCTAATTTCTTTTTTTATTAGTTGTTCAAAACATTACAAAGCTCTTGACATATCATATTTCATACATTTGATTCAAGTGAATTATGAACTCCCATTTTTACCCTGTATATAGATTGCAGAATCACATCGGTTACACATCCATGTTTTTATATACTGCCATACTAGTGTCTGTTGTATTCTGCTGCCCTTCCTATCCTCTACTATCCCCCCTCCCCTCCCCTGCCCTCCCCTCCCATCTTCTCTCTCTACCCCATCTACTGTAATTCATTTCTCTCTCTTGTTTTTTTTCCCCTTTCCCCTCACTTCCTCATATATGTAATTTTGTATAACAATGAGGGTCTCCTTCCATTGGACATGTGTTTTTATTTTGTTTCTAGAAATATCTGGGGGGGGGCTCTGATTATTGGACATGTTTAATTTTATAAGGAACTTCTAGGTTATTTTCTGTGGTTATATGATTTTATTTTCCCAGGAGCAACAAATGAGTGTTCCTGTTTCTCTTCATCATTGATGGTACAATATTGTTAGTCTTCTTAATTTTAGCTATTATGGGGAGTGTGTAGTGATGTTTCACTGTAATGTTTTAATTTGTATTTCTCAAATGACTGATGATATTGAGCATCTTTTTTGTTTGTTAAAAATGTGTATTTTCTTGTGTAAAGTATCTCTTTGTGTTTTGTTTACTTTTTAAAAATTGGGTTTGCCTCTGTGAATTATGGAGTTTGTTATATAATTTATTCAGATTATCCAAATAAGTCTTTTCTTAGATGTATGTTGTTATGATTTGGATATGAGGTGTCTCCCAAAAGCTCATGTGTTAGACAATGAAAGAAAGTTCAGAGGAGAAATGATTAGGTTGTGAGAGTCTTAACCCAATCAGTGAATTAATTCCATGATAAGGACTAAGTGAGTGGTAACTGAAGGCTGGTAGGGTGTGGCTGGAGAAGTGGGAATTGGGGGCATGGCTTTGGGGGTATATATTTGTCTCTGGCAAGTGAAGATCTCTCTCTCTGCTTTCTGATCATCATATGAGCTGCTTCTCTCCATCACACTCTTCCTGATGATATTCAGCCTCACCTGCACCCCTGAATGGTGCTGGACTTCTATGGACTGAGACCTCTAAAATTGTGAGCCCTCAAATAAACTTTTCCTCCTCTACAGTTGTTCTGGTTGGGTCTTTCAGTTGCAGCAGTAAAAAAGCCGACTAAAACATATAATATGAATATTTTCTGTACCTTACTTCTTCATTTTCCTAAGGGTATCTTTCAAGAAAGAGAAGTTTAAAATTTTTAATGCAGCCTAATTTATCATTTTTCATGCTTTTTTATATTTGAAAATCTTTCTACATAAAAATCACAGAAATTTTGTCCTATCATACAATCAATCAACAAGTGCATGAAAAAATGCTCACCATCTCTAGCAGTCAGAGAAATGCAAATCAAAACCACCCTAAGATACCATCTCACTCCAGTAAGATTGGCAGCCATTATGAAGTCAAACAACAACAAGTGCTGGCAAGGATGTGGGGAAAAGGGTACACTTGTACATTGCTGGTGGGACTGCAAATTGGTGCGGCCAATTTGGAAAGCAGTAGGGAGATTCCTGGGAAAGCTGGGAATGGAGCCACCATTTGACCCAGCTATTGCCCTTCTCGGACTATTCCCTGAAGACCTTAAAAGAGCGTACTATAGGGATACTGCTACATCGATGTTCATAGCAGCACAATTCACAATAGCTAGACTATGGAACCAACCTAGATGCCCTTCAATAGATGAATGGATAAAAAAATGTGGCATTTATACACAATGGAGTATTACTCTGCACTAAAAAATGACAAAATCATGGAATTTGCAGGGAAATGGATGGCACTAGAACAGATTATGCTAAGTGAAGCTAGCCAATCCCTAAAAAACAAATGCCAAATGTCATCTTTGATATAAGGAGAGCAACTAAGAACAGAATAGGGAGGAAGAGCATGAGAAGAAGATCACCATTAAACAGGGTCGAGAGGGGGGAGGGAAAGGGAGAGAGAAGGGAAATTGCATGGTAAAGGAAGGAGACCCTCATTGTTATACAAAATTACATATAAGAGGAAGTGAGGGGAAAGGGGAAAAAAACAAGAGAGAGAAATGAATTACAGTAGATGGGGTAGAGAGAGAAGATGGGAGGGGAGGGCAGGGGAGGGGAGGGGGGATAGTAGAGGATAGGAATGGCAGCAGAATACAACAGACACTAGTATGGCAGTATGTAAAAACACGGATGTGTAACCGATGTGATTCTGCAATATGTATACGGGGTAAAAATGGGAGTTCATAATCTGCTTGAATCAAATGTATGAAATATATGTCAAGAGCTTTGTAATGTTTTGAACAACCAATAATAAAAATAAAAAATAAAAAAAGAAATTTTGTCCTATAATTGTTTCCAGAAGTTGTATAGGTTTAACATATTCTTTTAAAATATTAACTTATATTGTTAACCTATCCTCATTTCAAATTAATATTTGTATATGAGAGATAAGAGTTGAGATTCACAGTTATTTCATATGGATATCTAGTTGTTGCACTGTTGAAAAGACTTTCCTACATGGAGATACTTGAATGTCTTTGTAGAAAATTAATTGACCCATCCATGTGGGTCAGTTTCTGGATTTTATATTCCATTTTAGAAATCCATATTCCTATTCCCACAGTAGCGCAATAATGCCTCAGTTACCACACCTTTATATTAACATTTGGAATCAAGTGCACTAAACCTCCAAATTTATTCTTTTGCAAAAGTGTATCACCTATTTCAGGTTTTTGGACTTTCTCAAAAAGGATAGGATTTTGATTGTGATTGCATCAAATATAGATTTATTAGATAGATCTGATATCTTAACAATATTAAATGTTAAAATTCATGACCATGATTTTTTTTAAAGAAAAACAGCTTTATTAGGAAAATGAAAATGATTATATGCTAAGTTGAATAGCTAAGTTGTACAAGGAAGGAACTGAAAATTCCTTTACTGATGTTCTCCAAAACTTGTATTCCATTAATATGCACCTTGTTCTTTACTCAGACCTGGAAAAAAAAATAAACCCATGTTTCAAACAGTGGTGATTCTTCCCTTTACCATGCACAGAGATTCCTATGATTCCCTCACACAGGTCCTTCTGGACCAAACTTTCCTCTTCTTCCTCTACCTCATGGCTGTGATTTATCTCTTCATTTAGTTAGGTTTTCTTGCTCTCTCTCAACAATGTGCTACATTTTGAAATACAGATCTTACATGTATTTTGTTAAATTTGTGTTTTTATGCTACTTTAAATGGTATTTATTTTTTCAAATTATGTTATTAGTTTGTAGAAATAATTTTTTTGTTATAAATTTACCTCATATCCTATCATCTTGCTACATTTACTTATTACAGTAGTTTATGTGCATGTTTATGTATTCCTTCAGACTTTTTCTTTTTTTTTAATTTTTAATATTTATTTTTTAGTTTTTGGCGGACACAACATCTTTGTTTGTATGTGGTGCTGAGGACCGAACCCGGGCAACACGCATACCAGGCGAGCGCGCTACCGCTTGAGTCACATCCCCAGCCCCAGACTTTTTCTTTTCTATGTTCAAATCTTGTCACCTGAGAACATAGAATATTTTTCTTTTTACTTTCCTTCTTCTCTTTCTGTCGTTTTATCTTACTAGTGAGGACATCCAGCACAATGTTAGAGAACTGATGATAATAGTCTTCCTTGTCTTGTTCCCAGTATTACAGAGAAAAACATTTAGTCTTTGATTATTATGTGTTAAGTCAACTGTAGTTTTTTGGTCAGAGATCCTCCTTGAATAGGTTGAGGAAATTGCCTTCCATTCTTGTTTTATAGTTTTCTTATGAATGGGAGTTGAACTTTTTTATATTTTTAAAATACATAATTTATTTAATGTAAATTACAACAAAATTAAGGTGTCAAAATAAATAGAGGGGAGGCTGAGGCAGGAGGATTGAAAAGTTCAAAGCCAGCCTCAGCAACTTAGTGAGGCCCTAAGAGCAACATTGAATCTGTCAGAAAACAAAACAAATACAAAAAACAAAACAGATTGGGGATTTGGCTGAGTGGTTGTTAAGCGCCCCTTGGTTTACTCCCCTTTCCTCTTCCACAATAAATAAAATAAAAAATAAGATAAAACCCTAAAAATTCACATATGAAATCTGTTTTATTTAAACACTTATTCATTTAGTGAGACACTGTAACATGGGAGTTGAATTTTTAATACTCTTTTTTTGTTTTCTGCATTTACTGGAACAATTACATAGCTTTTCTCTTTAAGTCACTGCTATGGTTTGGCAATAGTTTGTCCCCCAAAAGTTCGTATGCTGGCAAGTTATTGGTCCTAAGGGTGGCAGCGTTTGGGTGGTAAAAGCTTTAAGAGGAAGAGCCTAGTGATATATTCTTCGTTTATTGTGTCATTGGGGATGGTGTCCTTGGAAGGGATTAATACCAGTCTGAAGAGTGAATTAGTTCTCCAGAGAATGGTTTGTTAGAGAGAACAAGACTGTCTTCTGTATGCTCTGGCTTGCTGTCTCATCATGTGTTCTCTCCCTTTTGCACATGCTTCTACCATGTTGTCATCTACCACATTAGATAGCCAAGGGGCCTTCACTAGAGGCCCAACAGACAAAGCTGCCTAATCTTGGACTTCCAACCTCCAAATCTTTGAGGTAAATAATCTTTTATAAATTATCCAGGCTCAGGAATTTGTTACAGCAGCAAAAACTGACAAATATAGTCACGATCTGATGATTTGCATTGATAAATTTTTAATTTTTGAATGTTAAATAAAACTTGTACTTTGATAAATCCCACTTGGTTGTAATAAAATCTAACCTTTTTTCGTATTGCTAGACTTGCTTAGAATTTATATATATACATACATATATCTCTAAATATATATATTTATATATATGTATA